TCGACAAGTCAAGCACGGTGTCACCGCATTGACGTCCCCCACAGGGCTAACGAGGCAGCAGAAGTCCTGTGCCAGCAGTACGCATCCACATTCTCCGTTCCATCAATGCACAAAACGACGGTACCTTCTTCGGTTTCACCCTCAACTTCCCTGACGACTGTTCATTTCACTCCGGAGGTCTTGGCGAAAATAAAATCCCTGCGGCTAACGGCCTCTCCTGCACCTCTAGCTTTACCCCTAGCAGAGCTGTTCACCCACTTCTTCTCGCAAGGCAAAGTTCCCAATGATTGGAAATGTGGGACTATTACACCAATCTACAAAGGCGGTACTCGCAAAGATCCAGCCAATTACCGGCCGATAACTCTCCTATCTACGATCTCCAAAGTGATGGAATTGATCGTCGCAGACGCCTTAATGGACTAAATGGATGCCCAGATACAGCTCTCTGATTGCCAGCACGGTTTCCGGCGTCAACGTTCATGCCTTAGTAACCTGCTACTTGCCAGGGACAGCTGGACGACTGCAGCCGACTCTGGCCTTGAAACGCATGTTATATTCCTAGATTTCGCCAAATCCTTCGACAAGATCGACCACAAGATTCTACTGCAGAAACTGTTGTCTTACGGCGTTTCAGAGGCGTTGATGGACTGGATCCGGAACTACCTTCAAAACCGTACCTTCTAAGTACGCGTCGACGGAGCGTTGTCTTCCCGCATCCTTGCCACAAGCGGAGTTCCACAGGGGTCTGTTCTCGGACCGGACCTCTTCCTAGCCTTCATTGACGACGTCACCGCAAGTGGAGTCTTCGCTGCTACTATACGCGGATGTCGCGAAGCTGTGGCACACAAGTAACCTTCCGGACGATGCCCACGCACTTCAGACGGACCTCGACAGTCTACATCAGCGGTCCCTAGAAAACAACCTTCCATTTAACGCTTCGAAATGTCGCGTCCTTTCTACCCGCCTTTCCGCTTTTGCCCTATATATTACCTGGGAGCGTCTATCCTCCAGATCTCTTCTGTCGAAAGAGACTTGGGTATCATTACCCAGGCGAGTCTTTCCGTATCCGCTTCCTGCCAGAAAGCAGCTGCTGCTGCTAACCGCATTTTGGGATTGCTGAAACGAGACTTCGGTCAAATTGACCCCAGCAATTTCCGCCTTCTCCTCAACGCTTTTTTTCGACCCCACTTGAAGTTCACTATTCAGGCTTGGAGCGCTTGGTTGTTGAAGGACCAACGCATACTCGAAGCCCCACAACGTCGAGCAACCAGACTGGTCCGAGGTCTCAAGCACCTAGGTTATCCGCAACGACTTCAGTGCGTGGGCCTCTACTCGCTTGAGTACCGACGTCTACGGGGCGACCTGATCCTTGTATTTATGATCTTATTCAACCCTGGACATCCCCGTCGCCACCTACTCACACTTCACCAATCGGGCTCCCACCTACGTGGCCACCCACTGAGGCTCACACATCAGCATAGTCGGCTGAACTGCAGACGACACTACTTCGCTTTGCGAATCTGCCGACCGTGGAATGCTCTGCATGCCGATTTAGTTTTGGCACCCACTGTATCGGACTTTAAGACCCGCCTGGACTGTCATCTGGCCGAGTTACACCGCGATATTCCCTAATATAACTACCTTCTACTGGATGGAATTTCTTTCTTTTTTGCTTCTACCTACTTCCTTTCCAAAGCCGTATCAGAGGGTGTGGTGGGATGTCACGCATTGAGTCGGCGTGCATTCTGTTTAAATGCCGCATAATCCCGATGAAAATACGGCTAACACGCGAGTCCAACCCGATATAAGGTTGCTTGGCCCTTCATCAGACCCCACTCTAATATTTTATACCCGATGGGTAATGTAAATCTCGAGTTTTCGTTCCCATTAAACACAATGTTCCTCCTCTGTCCCTCGCTACTTAATTCTAAGATCTATCTCCGCATGTGTCTTACCCCTATGGACATTTTGCTCCACTGTGATATTTCAAAATCCTAGGTAGCTCACTGACGCAAGTATCTCGGTGTCGTGGAATTCCCAAGAAGACCATAGTTGATATTCCTGTGTCCACTCACACCAATTCGTGCATAAGGCTTGCTTCGAGAATACTTAATGGTCCAAGTCACCCACTTCATGGTGCACTGCCTGAGTGGGTAGCAACATCCACAAGCAGACAAAAGCATAGATCCGATTTTGCTCGCACAAGGGCTAGATCTGCGCGTAAAACTTCGAAGGGATTTGAAGATCCAGGAAGTAGTAAGACGCCGGCAACAGAGCGGAAAAACTACGCTACCGTTGCTTCGACGTCGTATGTGAAGACAGGGACAGTTCCACCGCCGGTGGTGAAAACAGCTGGTATAAGTGTCGAATCCAAGACAAGTAGAATAAACACTTCCCGTCGTGGCGACTCTTTCACGGATAGTAGCGTTATATTCCGTAACGTTACTGAACCTGCGGCTACTCTCCCAAGGGAAGGCATCTTGGATGACAGCAAGTGGCTCACCAAGCTGCTTCTACCTAGCTTCCCTGCTGCTACTGTCAGAAACCCGACCAGATTGGAGAACGTCCCTATTGCTACGCCAAAGCCGCAACCACGACTACTTCGTGGGGTCCTGTCTACCCCGGAGGAATGCAAATCATTACTGCGGTATGCATTCAAACCTAAGGGTAGTGGTGTCAGCGTTCAGCCGGACCATCCACTGGCAGATAGGTTGAAGTAAAAGGAGGCTATCAAAGACCTCAAAACTAGAGAGGTGGCTGGTAAGCAAGGCCTCCGTCTGGTGGGTATTCAAATGGTCAGCCAAAAGTTATTTTACGCCGTATCAGAACTCATCCTGATGGCGCACGACCCAGGGATGGTCTTGCCGACTTTCTTGAGGTAGTACTTAGCAATGTGCGTAGCCTAAGGAACAAGGTGCTCGAGTTGGGTCTACTTGTAGATAAATCTCGTCCCGGAATAATTGCTTTCACTGAAACGTGGTCGTCTCCGGATATCACGGGCAGTGAGGTCCGTTTACCTGGTTACACGCTGCTTAGAACTGATCGTTCCGTTGGTCGCCAAGACGGAGATGGCTCAGACTATTGAAACCCTATCGGTCGTTTTGTGCACTTCCTCTACCCAGTTTGCAGTTGTAGTGATAAACAGGAGTCCTGGAAGTTATTCCAGGTGGATACTTGACTTTATTCTCACTCAGTTTAGTTCTAGGGGCTTTCAACCTCCCAGAAGTCTGTTGAGCCAATCTTTCTTGCAATTCGGAGTCAGGAACATTCGGTGCAAAATTTCTTGATCTGACTCTCCGTTCTTTTGCACCAGTTCGTAGACTTCCCCACTAGGTATATTGACAACCAAACGCCATTTACAGATAGATACAGATGAGCCACCCTCAGTTATACCTATTTCGGATCAGCCAACCGTGCAAACAAACATTTCAAAAAACTTCAGCAGACCGGCACTATTTGTGCTTGTCACTCACAGCGAACCGAGCTCCTAATGCGTCAAGAAATACAATGCTGCTACACCAACATTTAAGGGTTGTATTCTATGCTCTCGGAACTGCGCCATCGACATGAAACAACTTGGGACCTCATAGCGGTTACTGAAACTTGGCTTTCAAACGTCACACTTGATCCAGGGATTGAACTCAATGATATGTCAGTCATTCGAAATGATCGTCCATCTCGCGATGGCGGCGCTTTGACAATAAACGTATATCTCGTCCTTACATTCGTCTTTTCACGACTTATCCTAGGAACGGGACGAACCTGACATTATATTGACCGGACGATTCCGCTATAGAATGCATATTAATTCCTCTAACAGTATAGTTTCCAGGAGGTTCTTTTACACAAACCTGCTAGTGGCGAGAGAAGTTGGCAAAATCAGCTGATGTCGGACAACGCATAAATCTGCTCTGGTAAATTTAGCAAAGGGCTCCACAAAGTCCGACACCAGCAGGTACTATGGGAGCACAGGAAAATCGGCATTATTGGGGCCTAGCAGTAAAGTACGAAAAACGCCTCACCCTACCGACTGGTAGCTTTGAGGCACTTGCAACAACTACAATAGAGGCTTCTTTTCAAGCACGTAGCTCAGATGATTCGAGGCGTAATTCTATTATCTGATCTGAAAACCAAACAAGGTACACTGAGGAGTCCCTGATGTAAATAGGGTGTGCCGTAAGGTCCTTCTCTCGAATGATACAGGTCTTCAGGTTTCTGTTCACTACTCACGTGCAACCGATTCTAGAGTATGGGCTGCCAGCTAGATCCCCACTCTCTAAGCTCGAATGTGCCTTAACCGAAAAGGTAAGGAGGCGTGGCTCTAATTCCCTTCCCAGGTTTCGTGAGATCTACTCCCTTCGGCTTCAGCAGATCAGTCCTTTCTCCATGGGGTACCGTCGTCTTCGTAATAAGAGGGGAAGTAGGGAACGAGCTACAGCCGCTTTCCCGGCTTAACACGTGGTTTTGCACGAAGTCACAACTGGAAGATGCGCAGAACGAGAAGGCCCGAAGTCCACTCCGACGTCGCATTAGTCACCAGCGTAGTGAATGATTGGAACCGTCTTACCAGAGACTTGTTGATGCGCCAACCGATAAATCTTCAAACGGATTTTGGACACCCGCCTGCGCTAGGACCGTATTGTTTTAATGAGACTGTTCCGGCTCCCTGAGGACTACCGAAACGCTGCGACATACGTGCTCCTAGTGGTGATCTGGGGATGACGGGAATAACATGGGACAAACCTACCGCCCTCTCGTGAACTCATTGAAGCGATGCGCCAACACGTCACCATCTGGATCAGCAGTATGCCGGTACGTGGCACTGACGCTTCGCTGTCATGTGTAGGCTATGGATATTGCGAAGCCGCCTGCATCTACCCATCCGGAGCCCCTAGGCGTTGTTAAGAACGTACAGTAAACACAGAAAACACAGAGATACGAAGAAAAATAAATTACTTAACATGTAGAGCTACGTTAAACAAAAGATGGTCAGTATCTAGCTAACCACCACGCAAGCGGAGAACCAAGTGCAGAGTTGACTCCTTTTGGATATTGTAGTCAGATAGGGTGCGACCATCCTCCAACTGTTTCCCCGCGAATATCAGTCGCTGTTGGTCCGGTGGAATACCCTCCTTGTCTTGAATTTTCGCCTTCACATTCTCAATGGTATCGCTACTCTCCACATCAAGCGTAATGGTCTTACCCGTCAACGTTTTCACAAATATCTGCATACCACCTCGCAAACGCAGCACCAGGTGAAGCGTGGACTCTTTCTGGATGTTATAATCAGACAGGGTTCGGCCATCCTCCAACTGTTTCCCCGCGAATATCAGTCGCTGCTGGTCCGGTGGAATACCCTCCTTGTCTTGAATTTTCGCCTTCACATTCTCAATGGTATCGCTACTCTCCACATCAAGCGTAATGGTCTTACCCGTCAACGTTTTCACAAATATCTGCATACCACCTCGCAAACGCAGCACCAGGTGAAGCGTGGACTCTTTCTGGATGTTATAATCAGACAGGGTTCGGCCATCCTCCAACTGTTTCCCCGCGAATATCAGTCGCTGTTGGTCCGGTGGAATACCCTCCTTGTCTTGAATTTTCGCCTTCACATTCTCAATGGTATCGCTACTCTCCACATCAAGCGTAATGGTCTTACCCGTCAAGGTTTTCACAAATATCTGCATACCACCTCGCAAACGCAGCACCAGGTGAAGCGTGGACTCTTTCTGGATGTTATAATCAGACAGAGTTCGGCCATCCTCCAACTGTTTCCCCGCGAATATCAGTCGTTGTTGGTCCGGTGGAATACCCTCCTTGTCTTGAATTTTCGCCTTCACATTCTCAATGGTATCGCTACTCTCCACATCAAGCGTAATGGTCTTACCCGTCAACGTTTTCACAAATATCTGCATACCACCTCGCAAACGCAGCACCAGGTGAAGCGTGGACTCTTTCTGGATGTTATAATCAGACAGGGTTCGGCCATCCTCCAACTGTTTCCCCGCGAATATCAGTCGCTGTTGGTCCGGTGGAATACCCTCCTTGTCTTGAATTTTCGCCTTCACATTCTCAATGGTATCGCTACTCTCCACATCAAGTGTAATGGTCTTCCCGGTCAATGTCTTCACAAATATCTGCATTATCAACAGGAAACGACAGTAGCTAAAACGACGATTGACTGACTTCAGCTGTGAGTGTTCGCCTTTATTATTCGCAAGGCGCGTGTCTCTGCTGTTGCTGGACCACTGGACCAATGAAGTTATCGTATCGATCGTCTAGCCTTCAATTGGTTTAACCTCACCGGACGGCATCCAATCCGCTCAGTGTACATGCGTGCGTGTCTGCCTCCCATCTGTGTGGTAGGACAGCCTCGTGACACGCGAAATCGGTTGTACGCAGGGTAGAGGCTGGTAATTGGCCTGTGCGGCGTTCGCTGGGGCAAATGTGTAGGCGCCGCAGATGGATTTTGACGACCCGCTTAAGTAATAGGATGTGATTTAGGTCAGCTTGCAGACGAACTACTTGCATTCACCGAAATGTACTTGTCTCAAGATGTCACGGACGGTGAATTCCAGACTACGCACTATTTAGGTCTGATCCTTCCATTGGTCGACAGGGCGGGGGCGTCGTTCTTTACGTGAGCTGTACATTTAGTAATGAGTACTGGGGATTTGGTATAATCAGGGACCTACTTGTTTCGGTGGACAAAACGGTCGAAGCTCTGGCGGCTGTCTTTAGCACTTCCTCGGCTCAATTTACACTTGTAGTTGTATAGAAGCCTTGGGGGTTACTCGAAGTTATCCGCTCTCAGACTGCAATCAGATGTTTGGTGCTGGACGACTTCAACCTCTCGGAGCTTTGCTGAGCTGGTCTTTTCTGTAGCTTAACAATAGGTACTTTCAGTGCAGATCTTGAACTTTCGATGCAAGTTCCACTTAACCAGTTCGTAGACCTCCCCATCAGTTACCTAGAGACCTCCATTTTGGACCTTATTTTTGCTAAACCACTCGACTTCGTAAAGGACATAACTTACGGCTCTCCCTTAGGTGCCAGTGATCATTTTTGTATATCTAGCTGTGCACTGCCAAAACGTCACCAAAACATCGTTGAGCCATCTCCAAACAAATGACTTGCGAACTATCAAGCAATACGAGTCATGGCTTCAGCTTTGCATTGCGAAATCTTGGTGACTGATACGGTTCAGGTAGGCTGGGATAAATTTAAATCTTCTCTTACGCAAGAGTCTGCTTCTTACATTCCGCTCACGAGGAGAAAACAGACACGAGCTTAGCCCCGTGGATAGATACCACTGGCAGGAGCCTGCACACGACGCGGTCTATATGCTGGAGGACTTACCGGGCCGCCCCACTAAATAGCACATGATAGTTACCGCGAGGCTAGAAATAGATGTACACAATACTTGAGGAGAACTCGGCTGGGGTACGAAAAGGGATTGGCTGATGGAGTGTCGGAAATCTGAAGAGGTTCTTTGCTTAAATCAACGGGGGTTCGAATTCGGCAATTCCAGAGTTGATGTGGGCCCACGGAACTCATGTGTTTGCGGATTCTGACAAGGCTTGTGTACTTGATAAACAGTATGCAGGAGCTTTTGTACGTGATACCGCGTTGACTAGTTTTGAATTTGTTCCCATAGTCCCTGAGGGTACTCGTTTGGTTGAATTTACTGTATTGGAAGCGCGTCCTTAGGTTGCTGCAAGAACAGAACCTTTGTAGCGCAGCTGGGCCGGATTTAATCCACCCGAAGCTGCTGTATGAGTTGGCGGAGGAACTAAGTGGATCCCTCACGACGGTGTCTTAGAAGTCACTTGACAGATGTACATTACCTCCTAAGTGGAAGGAAGCTTTCATATGTTTTATGTTCGAAAATGGTGACCGGTTTCTGGCTGCCAGTTATAGGCCAGTCAGTCTGATTGGCGTCGTGGTCAAACTGCTTGAAAAGCTGGTGAGTGCTTCGTTGGAGGGTCACCTGAATAGAGTTAATCTACTCAGTAGTGTACGACGTGGATTCCAGAAGTCCTTTTCGTGTCTAACGAATATGTTGACAGCTCGTGAAACTTGGGCTGAGGCAGTAAACAATGGCCACGTAGTGGGCGTGCTTTTCGTCGACTTCTTGAAAGCATTTGGCACGGTGCCCCACTTGAGACTATCACAAAAGCTGAGCTCTTAAGGTGTATCTGGCCTCGCTCTATCTTTCGTATGTGTGTTCTTACTGGTAAGGGAACAAGGTGTATGCGTGAGTCGCAGCCTACCATCTGGGCAAGCGGTCCATAGTGGTGTCCACAAGACTGGGTGTTTGGGCCACTCCTGTTCCCTATGTAAACGATGTCCCTGGAGAACTTAGGGTATCATCGCTATTATTTGCTGACGACCATGGAGTGTTCATCTGCTATATCGTTCTCAGCTGCTTTTCCTCCTGTTCCTCACAAACCTTCTTCACTCGCCACCTCTTCGTTTATTACTAATCATTGTTATTAGTTACCAGCTGATTACTTTTTCCGCTATTTAGCAACCCCCTTCTGCGTCTCAATCATGGTTTCAGATTGATCCTATGGCAATTAGTTTCAGATAGCGGGGTAGTGTAATAGATTGCAGACCCATCTGGTGTACATTTCTCGACTCAGACCATGCTCTTGTCTGTGCGACCATCTGCATGAGTTTCGCAAAGACCCCGAAAGCCAAACAGTGTAAGATGTATGCAATTAAACTATCTATTTTCTCGGTTCTGCAGAGCTATCAAGCTTCCCTGACCAATGCGTTTGGCTGTTACCCTGCGCAAGACATTGATGGACACTAGACATTCTTGCAGAGGACCATGACCTGTTCCGGGCACTTGATCTGTGGTCTTACCCAATACCCATGAAGGCCTGGATCTCCACGCTCTCTTTGGATCTATTTGACTGCTGCAGAAATATTCCAGCGGAGTCTAATCCTAATAAAGTGGGTCATTATGTCAGGGTGTAGCTCAAACAAAGCCTACGCAGTGATCGCGAAACATGGTGGTCTCAGCGCACTTCGGAAATGGAAGTCGTCGCCCTCTCTGGCAATACTCGCAAGGTCTTGCAGCTCCTTCGGTACACTGGCCATAGAAAGCCTGGTGTGAAGCGGTTGGTTCGCCGATTACCAGCCTACAGAGACGCCTGAATCTATGGGTCGGAAATTCTCATTCCCAGTTCATTTGGCCCTCACCGTTCACTTGTAAGTCCTGTAAACCCAGCTGCCTGTCCTAATTCGTCACCCTTGATCCACCCAATAAAGCGGACGTTTGCCTTGCGATTCGACACTTGAAACGATTCAAGGCTGCCGGCTCAGATGGACTTCCTTCGGAGCTGTTCAAGTATGGAGACACAGTTAACTTCATTGTTCTTCAAACTCTGGCATGAAGTAAATGTGCCTTCTTCCTAAGGAGAGTCAGTTATTGTCCCGATTTTTAAGAAGGGTGCTCGTACTTCATGCACTAACCACCGGATGATTAGCCTCATTTCGGTTGCTTCCAAGCTATTGGCATCTATTCCACTCCGTAGAGTATCTCCCATTCGGGAATCGAATTAGAGCGAGAAACAGGCTGGCCTCCGACCTGGCCGCAGGTATGTGGATCAAATATTCACGCTGCGCCAGGCCGTGGAACACCGCCACTTTTCCCAGAGGCGTTCGTAGACATCCGTGCTGCATTCGACTCGATTGATTGATCTGCACTATGGCGTTGTTTGCTAAAGAAAGGGGTCCCAGCAAAATATACTGCCATCCTACGCGCAGTCTACCATCACATCTTCGGCAGAGTGAGGGTCTATGGCAGGATATCGTCATCCTTCGCTACCAACAGCGGTGTGCGACAGAACTGTCCTATGTCCCCGTTCCTTTTCAATTTTGCGATGGAAGAGGTCCTGTCCTGGTCACTAGATCGTTACCACAATTTTGTCCTACAGCTACTACCGGGCAAGCGAGCGACAGACTTAGATTATGCCAATGACATCGTCTTGTTTGGTGACGACTCACAGAACATGCGAACCATTCTAGGCCGTTTGGCGATTGAGGCATCTAGGTATGGAGTGTGCTTTGCCACGTCAAATTGTAAAGGTCTGCTTCAACGTTCGCACTTGCGCGTTCCCGTGCTCACTATTGAAGGTATACAGCCTAGATTAGTAGTTAGCTTTGTCTACCTGGGCAGAAGTGTGTCTGCTAGTGGTACCGTTAGAAAGGAAGTTTCTCTTCGCTTCGCGTTTGTCAACTTAAAGCACTTGTGTCGTCCTCGAGATGTCTCCCTCTTGGTAAAGGGTCGTGTTTGCAATGACATTATTTGGACGGTGTTGCTATATAGAAGCCAGTCATGGCCAGGTCGGGTAGACGACATGCGCCGGCTCGCGACCTTCGATAGCAGGTGATTGAGGAGAACTGCCTGTGTGCGGTGGCAACAACGCAGTTGCAACAGTGAAGTCAGACATCGTATTTTAGCGTATGCGAGTATTCCCTTCAACAGGCTCCTTTCGCTGCGCCAGTTAAGATGGCTCGGTCAGGTCCTGCGCATGTCAGCTGAGCGCTTGCCCTATTTCTTTCTTTTGCTCGAGCGGTAGCTGGCTGGAAGAGACCACGTGGTGGTCAGCCGTCCACCTGGCGACAGCATACCTGATCGTTGACTTCACGCCTTGTCACCGCTGGATCCACACATCTGCCCGGTTGGGGACTGAAGGAGTACCGATGGCTTCAAACAATTTAGAATATGACGTTCAATCGAAACCAGTGGAGAATCTGTGTACATAATTGTTTAGATTTAAATGTTTAATCCTTAATGGTTGCAAACGACAAAAAACGAAAAAATGACACGTGTAAAATAAAAACAACGCTTTTTTCTTTTATTGCGGTACAATAGCTGAAGTGTTCTGTTCACCTTGTTAATGTCCCATGATGACGATGGTGATGAGGATACGTTGATTAAACCTGTCTTCTAGTGATTTCCACGCACTTTGTTTGGCTCTACGTCTGTCAATAGACTGCTGCTTATACTACGACTACTACTACTACTACTAATACTGCTACTACTACTATTACTACTACTACTACTATTACTACTGCTACTACTACTACTACTAATACTACTACTACTACTATTACTACTACTACTACT